CTTCCCCTCTCTCTGAGGGGCTCTTCTTCATTCCGTCGCTATCACTCTCATTCTCGTACTTACGCTCTGACTCAGACTCGGACTCGGACTCACTCACGCTCTCTCGACTGTTCCGAACAGAAGAGAGGGCAATAATTTGAGGAGGAGGAGGAGGAGCGAGAACAGAATCCATGATGGCCGCCTCGTCAGCATCATCAGTGTTCAGAGTGGAATTTTCTAGAAGGGCAGCGACGGCAATGGCTGCATCTGCCGCTGCAGCTGGGGTCATAGTCACAGCGTCATCACTCTGTAGGTGCACTTTTGGCTGGGACTGTACCCGTTGACGATGAAGAAGCAATGCGTGGAGTGGCTGTCGCTGTTGCTTTTCCTCCTGTGGAGACGGTGGACCTTCAAACGTAGACAATATTTACAGCCAGAAAGAATGAAAATTTTGACAGGCTCAAACAACCGACTTTAAAGGGCTACCAAAAAGACAGGGATGGTCCAAAAATTTTTATTTTTTTTTATTTTTATGCAGAATGGACATTTATTTAAAGGGAGTAATAATAAAATTATGATAATATTACATCTTAATTTTGGGGTTAATGCCAAAAAAAAAGGCATTTCCGCCCACTGTGGAATGGTTGTGTGACCTCGAACATCCCCACCTCCGCCAAAAAGATCATCAGTATGCTGCTGCTGCTTCTGCTGCTGCTGACTCTGCTGCCGTTGCTGCTGCTGCCGACGCTGGCGCAGCTGCCAGCAGCGGTGGTGGGACTGGCAGTGGTCGTTATAGAGGTGAAGGCAGAGTTGGCGAAGCCGATTCGACTCAAAGTTGGAGTCAGAATCATGATCGCTCTCTTCACCTCTCTCTGAGGGGCTCTCCTTCATTCCCTCGCTCTCACTCTCATTCTCGTACTTACGTTCTGACTCAGACTCGGACTCGGACTCACTCACGCTCTCTCGACTGTTCGGAACAGAAGAGAGGGCAATAATTTGAGGAGGAGGAGGAGGAGCGAGAACAGAATCCATGATGGCCGCCTCGTCAGCGTCATCAGTGTTTAGATTGGAATTTTCTAGAAGGGCAGCGACGGCAATGGCTGCATCTGCCGCTGCAGCTGGGGTCCAGGGCCGGATTGGCAGTTGCCTAGGGCCTCCTAGGGATAACAGAAAAATTTTGTTGAAAAAACAAAACTCCAAATAATGAATAAAAAATATAATAGCCACTGAGAAAAATACAAAATAAAGGAGGGCCCCAGATTGATGGTTGCCAAGGTCGACGTGGGTTGATCCGGCCCTGAATAGGTCGCTACATCACATCAGCCCTCAAAACAAAACGAAAAACCAATTCAAGCGGCCAACAATTGTAGAGCCCACACACAAGCACAGTATGTGTGAATACATGGCACACACACATTTACGTAACCTGGAAACGAAACTCAAAACAAACTCAAAACGGTTTCGGAAAATAAGAATTGATACAAAATTTTGTCGTGTCTGTTTACAACATACATTTGCAATTCTCAGCTTGCTTTCGCTTCCCGACATGAGTCATACATGCCGAACGGCCCAGCTCCCGACCCGAATGGCCTGGCTCCCGACCCGAGTGTCTCAGCCTCACAGAGCCGAAGCGCTGGGAGCCGGGACAGAACACTCAGCTTGCGCCCCTTTCGATGTATGAACTGGCACATCTATATACTGCATGGTTAGTGGCTACGTGTAGCAAGAACAGCACGGCAAACCCATATACATTTTTCCCGCTCGCTCCTATCACGCAACTGTACGTTTTCTTGCAGCTGCATCCGACCTCTTGTGTACAGCAACCAGGGCTGCCGACTTAGCTTTTTTTCGTCTTATCTGGATATTTTGAATGAAAAAATTTGGTAATTGCGGGAAAGCGGAAATTCTTGATGCTTTAAGAAATGTTTGCATGGATGACACGGACGAGTTTACAGTTTACGGCAGCTATTGCAAAATCACAGCCAAGCTACGTGATATACGCGCCCATGTATAAACAAAAGCGCACTCAAGTGCAATAAGTCGCGTCAAACAAAAAACAAAACAGACTTTGTCAGTTTACCTCTCCAGCGATATATAAAAATACTGTACAATTATGTCAAATATCACCTCAAGTTTTGGTAAAATCAATATATATATATTTTTTTTCTTAAAGCTAGAAACAGCTTTTTTCTTATGAAAATTTGGCAGCACTGAGAGCAATTCTGCTTGCATACGTGTGTGTGTGTGTGTGTGCGTAACGAAAATGGTATAAATACGGCAGTCCTTAGCACGGAAGCATCATTTCAATTTTTTCTCCGTGGGGAACACATCTTTACAAGCTGTCGTCTACTACATATTTAAAAACATTGTTGAACATTTAAAAATACTGTGTCACACATGTGTGGCTTATATATTGTTAATGATTGCTATTTTTTATTGGCTGGTTTTCCTTCCTCTTAACAATGCATATTGAGAAAAAAAATTTAATTATCATTGATTCGAAGAGTCATTCGTATGGATTTATCAAAAGGACAAGAAATGAGGTCTTGTCCTCCTCGTTCATGAATTCCTGGACTTGCTGATATGCATGTTTTTGGATGTGGAGGTAGCTTCAGCCATCGTGTCCGTGCCTCGGAATTTCTTCTCAGATCGTGTACGATATTTGTTGGTTGCGCACAGTGTATAACGACGATTTGCCGATTGCTCGTTTTTTAATCACTCCTCTAATGCGGATATGAAGGTGGAGTGTAGTATGCATATATAGCCAATACCCACTGTACCAAGAGTACTTAAAAGGGAACACACTGTAACACTTTGTTGCAGTGTTTATGCAATAAACATTCCCAGGCATACCCTGCAGTACCAGAAGTGAGCGATGACAAATGTCAACTACGCGTCATTCAAGATTTTTTCTCTGCCGCTGCAACAGACGAGTAGAATATGACGTCGACGTCGCGATCGACGCGTCGGTCTGACAACTCTTTTTTTTTTCTTTGTTTCTTTCTGTTACGACTCGTGCCGTAACAGAATTCGGTTTTGCCGTCGGCGTCGACAACGTTGTTAGAATTATGCGGTGAAAAGTGAGACGCAGGTTTTGTTTATTTTGGGCAAAATTATTATCAGGTAAGTGCAGTGTTTCATTTAATTAAAAATAGTCTATTGTGCGTTGTAAAAAATGAAGAAAATGTGATAGTGCGAAATTAAATGCGTTTTGGACGAAATTTTTTATTTCCAACAACGAAAACAGAAAAAAACCACCCGATTGGTTCTTGCGAGTCTTGAGTCGAACAGGTACATATCTTGGCGAGTGTTTTTTTTTTGGCGCAAATGCACTGCTGATCTACTGAGAGCATTGTTAACAAATTGAAAAATATTTTAATTAACCCATCTTATTTTAAAGGCGATTCAGTTGAATGACCACGACGACCTTACGATCATGAGCAAATCAAAAAAACTAAAAAGGTTCTGTGGAAAAAAGAACACACAGCACAAAAATGTGAATATGTATACATTTTTATAAGAAAACAATAAATAAAAGAAATTTAATATTTTAAAACAGAATTTACCCATGCCTTTTTCATCAAAATATCAAAAATTTTTACTTAAATACATCACTTATTAGGGCCTTACTTTCTAAGGGAAATTCATCGCTTATTAAGGCCTTACTTTTCAAGGGAAATTCATCGCTTATTAAGGCCTTACTTTTTAAGGGAAATTCATCGCTTATTAAGGCCTGACTTTCGGCTAATTCTCGCTTACTATGTCATCGATTATGCTCCTAGGACATCCCTGTGTTAAAGTAAACAGCCCATCGTATGGCAGGTCATCGCTTATGTCATCGAGCTGCATGACGTTGCCATCGATGTGTGGTTGCTTACACATCGCTTACCCGTACTGCAGGGTATTCAGTGCGACGAAATACGATCACACATATATGCCTGGTACTACATTAGTGCAGCGTCGGCATGTATAGCATAGCCGACGGCACTTGAATATGATCCACACAAGCATGTGCATATTCCCCTCGCGCCCCCCGCTATCAACAGCGCTGGGCATATATAACAAACATATAAATGCGGCCGCTCCGCTGCCGGCATTCCTGGCAGCGCAGCTGCGCGGCCTTAGCTAAGCTATAACTGTAAGAATATCAGAAAGACATTGAATAAAGTTATATCGAAGGAGACGGATGTCTCTGTTTAATAATTCGTATTTACAGGAGCTTTCAACATTTTCTCCTGGCTCCGAGGTGTTCTCGCAGCCTGGGCGCACTTGTTGGTGTGCACACATAGAGCCATCAAATATGCTTAGTCGTGCCTGTTCGTGTCGCCCAGTACATTTTCAGCTTCGAAGCCACGACCAAAGCTGATCAGCTCTTTAGGCTCCTCCTTCTTTTCCCATCTGAATTCACGCAAAAGTTCAGGGCTTAAATATTTTTTTTTTTAACTGATGGAATTTTTTCTATTTTGCCGAGTTTACACGGAAAGTGCAATTCCGTATTACAATAAGAGCCTATGTTTGACCAGCTTTTGGACTTCTTTCCGCATGCATTACTCATTTCACTTAATACGAAAAAAATACAATAAAAAGGTGTGGCCGTTAGGCGCCTTTGAGTCAAAAAAGTGTTTTATCTTTGCGATCATATTAAGAGGACTAAGCGGTGGCAATTTATTGTGTGATCTTCTGCGGTTACGGAGACATATATCAATCTTCCCGTATTAGCGACTCGTATAAGCCGGTGGACAGATCTTTCTGGAAAAATTTCCAGCGGAAGTATGGGAACATCAAAACAACCTTTGATGCGGTTTCCATTCTACTATATTAATGGATATCAAATAAAACTTTTAGAAAAGTTGTCCAGCGCAGGGGGAGGTGAGTTTGCACGGAAAGTGCAATTCCGTACTACAATAAGAATAAAAGAGCCTTCTTTTGACTAACTGTATGGACTCGTTTCCGCATGCAGTGCTTGAAATTGAGCTTGCTTAACAATGCATATTGAGAAAAAAAAATGTTATTGTCATTGATTCGAAGAGTCATTCGTAGGGATTGGATGTGGTTCATCAGCCTTCGTTCCGTGGCTCGGAAATTCTTCTCTGATCGTTTTCGACCTGTACGTACGGTAGTTTTTATTTTATTTTTTTTTATTTGACTTAGCGTAAACCAAATTTGTAGCTCTTTTTTAAACAAATTTAAGTCTGACTATTATTTCAATTGGGCACTCGCCTACTAGCCTACTGCCTTGCAATTCCCATCCTCCGACCATGGCAGCAGCCCGATCTGCTGCGGCTGCGCCCTATCCGGCACCTGCTTCACATCCACCCGCTGGCCAGCCAAAGAGAAATTTTTTGCCTCGCGTCGCAGGACTCAGCCGCCGAGGTCAGACGCCACTGGCTCGGCCAGTACCCAACAAGAAGGCATTACCTCATCCTCAAGAATCGCCGAGTGCGGCGGTGCTGGGCAGCGCCAATCCCAGCACCAGTAGCAATGGGGAGACCGGCGAACTGGTCGCTCAGATCGGTCAGGCACATGGCCAGCGCAGGGGGGAGGTGCACCACTCCAGCTTCGTGCACCTGTCGGCGACGGATGCCAATGCCGAGGTGCCCCGACGGAGCGACGATTCCTATCCACACAGAAGCACGAACAGTCGTGCCACCCATATCACTGACCTGACCTACGATGTTCTCATCAATCAGAATGAAAATCAGATGTCCGCTGCCGCGAGCTGGAGCGAACTATCCTGGGGACCAAGGGGGACGTGGAGGCGTTAAACGATAGCTGCTGAGCGAGACGGACGTTGGCATTGAGACGGCCAGGCCCAGCCGAAAAGAGGCCACGACAAAGCAGCTGGGGCCCTCGAAGTCCTCCGCTGCTAAAAGGAGCCCAAGAAGAGAACGGCACCGATAAATAGACATCTGAAAAGGGAGATAGAGACACTGAGAATGAAGAACGAACGGTTGCAGGCCAATATACAGACCGTTATCAATCAGGGGGATCGCACTGAAGGCACCACCACCCAAATCACACCAAAAATCAGCTAAGCCAACAATCAAGACCAACGCGAACGCCACCACCGCAACCGCAACCACAATCAACGATGAGATGATGGTGGACTCCAGAGATAACTGGAGTAGCTGCACCACGTCATGCGACAGCTTCACATCCATCAGTCCCTCTATGCAGCCCTGCTACTGTGCCAACTGCAGGCCCAAGCGTGAGCAGAACCGGCAGACAGGTCGGATTCCGGCACGTTGAGCACGTGGCGAGCGTAAAGCCTCGCATCAGCGCATGTTAAATTTCGAATTTTGAATTTTCTGACGAGTGTGAGTTTTTTTCGAGGTGTTCTCGCAGCCTGGATGGAGACCGGCGAACTGGTCGCTCAGATCGGTCAGGCACATGGCCAGCGCAGGGGGAGGTGCACAATTCCAGCTTCGTGTACCTGACGGCGACGGATGCCAATGCCGAGGTGCCCCGACGGAGCGACGATTCCTATCCACACAGAAGCACGAACAGTCGTGCCACCCATATCACTGACCTGACCTACGATGTTCTCATCAATCAGAGCTCTCACGGGCTTAGTCAGAGGAAGGCGTGTGTGAATGGATTGTTGGTGTGTGTGTGTGTGCGTGTTAGGAGGGCTTGTATAACAGTTATAAGGCCACAGAAACGAAACACACGATCGCATGCACTCTCTTTTTCTCTATACATACATACTTGTACAGACATACATACGTACATGGTTTAAAATTTCCGCTGATTTGCAAATCTCGGCTGATTTGCAAAACTATATCAGTGTTGTATTATTATATATATATCAGTGTTGTGTAGTATGCATATTGTAACGCTTGTAGCAGCATCTAGAGTGTTAGCGGGTGGCGCTCTCTGTCGGCCAGGGGAAGGTCAGGTGGCGCCCTCTAGGGCTCAGATTGGATGATCGGGTCAAGGAATTTTCGGAGGAAAAGAGAGTAACAGGGGCAAATGTCAGGCCTTTCACTCAGTGGCCCTATTAACCTTTTCGAGACCATGAGGTTGGCGCTTAAACGGAAGCGTCTAGCTCGGTCTTTCGCTTTCGGTCCCCAGTCAGTGCAGTTGTGCGGAGTGGAAAAACTCCCTTAATTTTATAATACGCGTATACGCAAAGTAAATTGCACAGTGACGGTGAAAAAGTCCAGAAGGAAAAGATTTATTTGGCGAAGAGGCGTTGAATTGGTGAGCATGGATAGTCAAAGTTTGAGGGCGGCAGCGCCTAATTCCATCGCTTCGTGCAGATCTTGGCGCTCGTTAGCTGTCGCTGGGCACAGGCGACGCCGCAAAGAGGTGCCCTCAGTTGGACACTGGATTGGAGGATCGCTCCCGTGTCCAGGAGAAGATCAGCAGAGGAGTCCCGGCTCCATCACCCATATAGGCGGCAGTTGACACGCGCAGAGCTCGGACGAGCCCATTTTTTGTCTCCCTTGTGCCTCCTATACGCCCAAATACCAGCAGCGCTCGCAAGTAGCAGCGTAGGGGGAAAGGGAAAGAGGAAGATTCCACAGGGGCCTAGCAGGCAGAGCTAGTGCTCAGCGGATGGCTAGTTAGTGCCCGTGAACCTTGCAGAGACAGCTGCGTCGGCGACCCTGCGCTATTGGGAGCGAGGGTCCCGCAAAGGAATCGCGAGAGACCCCCGTATGGATCCGGACGGCGGGTGGCCAGAGGCATACCAGATGCCCAAGAGAATTTCATTTTTTTTTTGTGATTAATTTTGTTTTGTGTGATTTTTGTAACGTTTAGTTCAAAAGAAAAAAATAGTTTTAAGCTTTAACGTTTTGGTTGGTGTCCCAGCAAGATTAGAGTGTTTTGGCAGTAAGCGATGAGAGCGAGAGGTCAGGAGTGCGCGCTTAGAATATTTTCCTTCCATCTCGATATTTTTTTCTCTCCCCTTTTCGTTAAGCAATACGTCGGTGAGAGCGCTTTCGTCGATGGATTCCTGACAAGGGTGAGTGCTGTTATGGCCACATAAGGCTGCGTTTTTTTTAACAACAGACCAAAACCAGCAGAAATATATTTATTCGCGGACATAATTAATCATGCGCTAGCCCATCCTCTGCCATCAAAGTTTACGCGTAACACTTTTTGCAAGCCAATGGTCGCAGATCGGGAAAATTGTCCTAACAACGATCAGCGGTTTGATCATTTATTCGTATTTATTCATATTTATTCATCCTTTGTTCTTATTTATTTATATGCGTTCATTTTATTATTTATTTCTCGTGCATATCGTAGTTTAAGTATGTTAGTAAGTTCATTTTTATAGAATTCAGAATATATTTTATAATGTTTTAATTCCTTTTTTATTTGCCTTAGCTAGCACCCTCCCCATGTAGGCGTCCCTAGGCAGAAGGGGCCATTCCATTTTCAATGAAGGCGGCTTGGAATGGCCAAGGTAGGGCGGGCGAGACGGTCTCATTAACACCAGAGACGGAGTCGAAACTCTTCGCAGCAGTCCCTAGCTTTTTCTTGTATTCAGGGATAGGTAGTATCTCCCGGTTAAGTTTTCGTCGTACACGCTACTTCATTTTTGGTAGGATGAGTATACGACCAGCATGAGAGGGCAAGATCACCCCATAGCCGACGAGCAGAAGCCGGAAACCTTAAGCGTGCGCTTCCCCTCGCTGACCAACAACTAGCCTGGCATAATTTGTATATTTGTGTTCATGAAACGTTACATTTATGAATTATGAAGATAAATCATCATAATTAAAAATTGGCGCCCAACATGGGGCCACACCTGTTCAGGTGTGACACCATATATACTATTACATCCCTTTTCCATTTTCAAAATTTTCCAATTCAGCAAAGGCAGCAGAGCCCAATATAGATCGTTGGATCTTGTGGAGCAGCTACCCAAACATTTGGGGAGCTGTGGCTGTCATTGTTGAATATTATCTTCTTTAATCAGCACCTAGTAAAGTGCCCATCAGACGATTCGGAAAACGGAAGAAGAAGTTTCGATTTCTCATCCGGCCACGTCTGAAGTGCATTACGAAAGTGCAATAATCTCAATTATACCCCACTTTTCTTAGGCAAGCTTCATAAGCATGGTCTTTCGGGCGCATAGGACGACAGAGGTAATCTCGTTTATAAACGAAACCCTGGCCACGTTTGAAAGTTGATGCAAGAGGCTTAGCCATTGCTTCTGATGAGTTGTCGTCGAGTTGGACATACTAGGGTTGATCTTGACCAAAGAAATTCCCCAGGCCACGAGTGATATCAGAAGAAGCATTTCCGTTTTGTTTGGTGTAGAGTGCAGAGCCGAGACGTTTGGACTACAGCGGTGTAGATAAACAGCAGCTGGCCACGGCTCGCGCTTGCGCTTGTTGTTGGTTTATGTTTGCAGCGACAAGTGCACGGCGGCTGCGCGCACACATTCTTTCTATTTCCTTTTGTGCTTGCGGTCTTTGTCTCCAATAGCATAGGTTCTGTTTTGCATGGGGATTAGCTATGTGTAGGCAAATATTTTTTATGACTCTATTTTGTCTTGTTTCATTCTTTACGTTTTATTCTTGTGGTTTTTGCTCGATATATGTTCGTGTACTCGGTTCAAAGCGTTGTTAATGCTGGGATTTTGTGAGTACTACTCGGCTCTCTCGCTGTGCCAACAGCTGTAGTTGTTGCGGCGGTCATTGACCCTCTGCCGGCAACGCACAAAAGTGGAGCCAAATAAATCCGAAAAACAACAGTTTTGTTCAATTTTTTTTTAAAACATATACATTCTGAGGTTTCCCAGCATTTTTATCGTTTAGTTATTTATTCAGCTTATTCAAATTATCGTTACACTTATCTGTTTATTTCATTTGCACTTATTTATTAGTTATTTATTTATTTATTTTATTTATTTATTTATTTTATTTATTACTTTGCGTTCACTTTTGGTTTAAGATTTTGGTTAATACGTGTCTTCTACTTGTATTACGTAATTTGTTCTGAGTTTTTAGCTTTTGTGTTTCTGGCGTCAAGTCCTTCATAGTCTTGGGAAGAAATAGAATTCTGTTTTGTTTGCGATGGGAAAACCAGAGATGACCCCGCATTGGGTTCGGCGCCTCATTGTCAGCTGTGTGGGAAGATCTTGGCAGCTGCTCCTACATTGTAAAAACGAAGTGCGGTCACGAGTTCCACAAAAACTGCATAGAGGCTTACGACCCACACCACCTATCCCACATGTAAGGCGGTATGTGTCGAAAAGGGTACTCGCGAGGGCACAAGCCAAGCAAATTGAGACAGCAGCTATGACTTCCGAAAATAGTAGGGGATGGTGACACAGGCTATTAGCACCATGCAAATGAGGTGGTAGCCCAGCTAACGGATAGAATGGCACAAATTATACAGTCCAGCATGGCAGATCATTTCCAGGCGGGAGGCAGCAGCTCTTCTCAGGGTAATAGATGTGGAGAGTCGACTGATCCAGCCCCACAAGACAGAAGGGAAGAAAGTCAGAATTCAGGCTCGGCGGGGACTGAACAGTCAGTTTTCCTCGCAGCTCCTCTACTATGAGCGTCCAAGTAGTGCAGTTTCCGATTTAAGTCAACGACCCGACAAAGTTGGCCATATCCTCAACAGTTGGAAGCTGCGGTTTAATGGGACACAAGAAGGTTTAAGCGTGGATAATTTTCTGTACAGAGTAGAAGCTTTGACACATCAGACTCTGGAAGGGAATTTTTCGGTGCTGTGTAGCAACGCCAGTCTGCTTTTTGATGGAAAAGCTGGAGACTTTTATTGGCGGTTCCACAAGTCTGCCACTACAATGAGGTGGGATCTCTTTATGCCAAGCATTAGGAAGCAATTAGGATTCCGAACGGATCTAGATATTTAAGAAGCAATTAAGGATAGGAAACAAAAAGAGAAAGAAAATTTCGACTCCTTCCATGACGCCCTAATACAGTTAATGGACGATTTGGAAACTCTCATGTCAAAAAGCCATAGTTGAGACGTTACGTCGAAATTCGCGACTCGAAAATCAGGCATGAGCTTCTCCAATGTACAAATAGATTTGGTGGACTGTTTGAGAGAGGTCTGTCGTCGAAGAGAGGGTTTTCTCGATGACGTGAAGCGGAGTCATGGTTACCAGAGTCGATTTCCTTTCCGGAAACAGGTCGCAGAATTGATAGAAGAAGTCCAGTTGGAGGATGCCTCTGATTTTCGGACGCTGAGGAGAAGATGAGGTTGCAGCCATGGCATTAATTTGCTGGAATTGCCGAAAAGAGGGGCATCGCTATCATGACTGTGATAGCAAGAAAAGGTGTTTTGTTTCGGGTGTGGAGCACCTAACAAGTATAGCCTTCCTGTGTCAAGTGCCAAAAAAACGGCAAAGCGAACACCCAGCCTCGCCAGCCGGTGTTCAGCGTCACAAGCAGTTAAGTGTAGAGGCGAATTCCCAGTAGGAAAAAATGATACCATCCCCTGTGCGTATCGGAGAAATCAGAGTTAGACATAGGCCAAGCCTTAGTGTGGCCACAAATAGTTTTCGTCCAGGCTCCATACGTACCCTAAAGAGACGAACCCAGAAACAGACCCTCAGCA